GTTATGTGTTGAGCTTCTTGTGAACCACAAGGCCAACAGGTGTGAACACTGGCCACTCGGAGGGAGAAAGACCAAGCGTTCTACTTCTGTGGAGAGTTACGCTTTGGGAAACCCACAGGGGCAGGTGGACTCTGCCCTCCAGGGTCGGTATGAGTCGGAATCTACTTGATAGCAGTGAGAATATAAGACATATAATTTCTTCCTTTTTACCTCAAAGTTTATATTAAAAAGTGAATTAGCCCTGTCAGATTTGGTGACCTGGAAATAAAAAGAAAAAGTACACATATGTATGGATGGACAATTTACTATATAGATAGAATATTGGGATTCTCAAAGTTTGGCGTCAAGCACTGAACTATGTTCAGTAATTTTGCTTTTCTTGATGAATTTGCTTCCAATTCAAGAGCTGTGAATATAGGTAAAATCACTAAATTGTCCAATTTAAATGAATCATGTCATATGAATTATATCATTAAAAAAGCTGCTAAAAATTAAAAGACTGCACACAATTTTTACTATAATTCATAAGCTGAAATATGAAGCACGTGAGCTGTAACCAGGAAATATAGCAGCATTAGTTTTAGGTATTTGAGGAAATTCATCAAAAGTACCTGGCTGTTACTAAATCAGATCCATAAGAGCCATTTAGAAAGAAAAGCACAACTCACAAAATGTGGGTGCAAAAAGTCAGGCTATTGTCTCTGTACAGGGAACATGAAATTAAGACTCTAAAACAAAAAATGAGAATCTCAAGGGGGGAAATATGCACTAAGTTACTTTTTGCGGGTGGGGTGGGCTGTCGGAAAAGGGGTAGACCAGCATAAACGTGAATAGATAGGCTCTAGAAAAAGAACAAGTTCCTCAAAATTACAGTTGCTCCTGATGGGAAATTTGATTTCAATATTTAAAAAGTAGAATTTCCTTATGACAGTCAAGCTGAATGTCAACTATGATCTTAGCATGTACCTTAAACAGAGGGTCCTATGGCTTCGCCCACTAACAGATGGTATTGAAAATAATTATTTGCTAGGCATTCTGAGAGACTCAATATAGTAAGATATGACTAAAGTTTAGAACCTATTTGAGGAGAGATAACTAATATACTCTGTACCTGCCTGAGAGTCGAGATAAGTTAACAATTTACAACAGTACTTTGTACATCCTAATCATTCAATAAATGCTAATTGTTAATAACAGTGATAATCGCAGCTAAGTTCTATGGAGATCCACGTCTGTACAACGTGAATGATAATAAAGAAGCTAAAAAGGAAGGCTTTAAAGGAACAAAACCTTGATTTGATTTTCAGAGGTATATTAAGAAAAAGACTTTTTAATGAAGACAGAGGCAAGGGGAACCCTGCTCCTCCCTAAACAGAATCCAAAGCAAAGCCATGAAAGGCCAAGAAGGCCATCCGTGCACACACACAAAAAGATCCACACGTCACCGACCTTCAGGCAGCCTCAGACTGAGGCTAAGAAGGAGCCCAACTATCTTTAGACAGTCCCAGGAGAAACAAGCTGGCCACTCTGCCTTCATCAAGTGCCCCATGACCACGGCGTCCTCCGTGAAGAACACGGAAGATAACAACACACTTGTGTTCGTTATGGAGATCAAGGGCCACAAGCACCAGATCAAACAGGCTGTGAAGCAGTTCTATGACATTCAGGTAGTCAATCAAGGTCAACACCTTGATCAGGTCTGACAGTGAGAAAGCATATGTTTGACTGTCCCTGACTATGATGCATTAGATGTTGCCAACAAAACTGGAATCCTCTAAACTGAGTCCAGCTGGCGACTGCTAAATATAAGCTTTTTCAATGCATTAAAAAAGAAAGAAAGAAAAGAAAAAGGACGGAGGGAACTAAAGGGATCGAGATTGGAAGAGGCGGGGGAAAGGGACCTTTTCCATGTGGTTGTGTATCTTAACATTGATTCCAATTCATTGTGATCCTGTGGGCCAGACTACAGCTCTTCCATAGGGGGTCTTGGGTTGTAAACCATTATGTTGCCCCAGAACTTTACCTGTGGAATGTTTTTTATACATTCACCCCCTGAAGTATAGGGCTGCTAGTATGATTGTATGGCTATAAAGTATGTGCCTACTTGCTAGCACATATTAGAAAATGAGGTTGGAATGGTTTCTGTTTTATCAGATCAT